GTCGGTTGACTCGTATAATTGTTAATATTGTGGTTAAATAATTGAAATGTTACGCAGTATTTGGCTGGCTCGTATCAATGTTTATATCTCTTAAAACTAGCATAAATTATTAAATAATTGAAATCGTACACCGAAGTCGATTACCTTGTATAAATGTTAGTATATATTAAATAATTGAACTCGTACGACGTATTCGGTTGACTTGTATAATTGTTAATATTGGTTAACACAAGCAAAAATGAATGTGAATATAATTTACTTTAAACTTAAAAACTGATATAGATAAACAGATCTGATCTTTATCTTGATCCCGGAGTATCTATATACACCATTCCACTTAGAAGAAATGTGATACATGGCTATTGGGGGTGCTAGGCAAAAAGGAATATTTCGAGTTTCCATTTTCCCATGAGAGGCATTATTGGATGCGTGATGTCGTAATACTTTAATGCAAACGGAATAGCTGAAAGAATGAAATGACAAAGGTATATGATTCCCAAAAAGATTCTTTATACCGATATATATATATATATATATATATATATATATATATATATATATATATATATATGTACCTCCAAAGATTCACTAAAGAATAGATGATGAAAAAGGCTTCCGCATTAATGAAAACAAAGATTTAGCGTCAAAATCAATGAGATTAATGATTAAGACCAAAGTAATTTTATTTAAATTATTTTTATTTCTAGAACCTTCAATATTTTGGCTAAATTTTGTTTTTCTTGTGTCAGCGGGGGGACCATAAGATAGATTTAGCCTCTGCCCGGGCCAGTGGGGCAAGGAGTTAAAGAAAGCAACCTCTTGATTTGGCTACTGTCTAGAAACTGAAATTGACTGCCGCTTTCGTCACTGTATGAAGTGACCTCATTAAGCCGCCACATGATACATGTTACTTATCTCCACCAAAGGGAGATAATTTTCTCCCTATACTACCGTTAGAAATGTAACCAATTCGGCGTCATTCTTCAATGCCATCAATCGCAAATTCACGAAAATATTTGAATACGTTAAAAGGCCTAATGTACGACTCACTAAATTGTTTCTTTAGGATAGTAGAGGAAAATCAAAACAGAGGTGGAGGGTTAATTTAATTCCGTAATCAGCAAATAGTGTGAGGCTGAAACTAAATAAGATTGTTCAAGATTGTAATAAATAGCGGGAAATAAGGCATTTTAGATCGCAATCTACCACAAGAGGAAATAAGCTAAATGAAAACCAATCAAAACGATGGGATTATTTACGTATAAATCGGCGCTTCTAGTAAGGACTTTATCCTCCGTCTCCAGCTGTTTCATTCCCTCTCACGCCTTTCAACATTCGAGCAGTTCGCGGCTTTACAATAAGGAAAGCTTGTACCTCGGAATCCCAACCCTGCAGCTGCATCTTTGCTCTCTCTTTACATCGCAATCTTTTTCGCCAGCGGTCATTTTGCATGTTTATTCATCCCTGCGTTCAATATTGATTCTACATTTGGTCTGGTGCTCCTGCTATATATCCCGAGATTCTTGACAAAATCCAAAGAAGAATTTGTAATATTATCAGGCCTAAACAAGCATCTGGGTATCAGTCGGATTCTCATTGCCATAGCGTATTTTCCCCCTATTCCTTTTCTCTAAACAATTTCATGGCAATTGTTCCGAGTAGCTTTCCTCTTTTGTACCTGAACCTCTTGAATTTAAACGTAGAGCTAGATTGGCAGATTGGTCTCATCCTTTTACTATTATAATAACTAGATTCAACCGTAAGTTCTATTCTAATAATTTCTTCTCTCGTTCTTCTCGACTGTGAAACTCTCAACCGACATCCAAATTTCCTGTCTACGACGATCTTAAAAAATTTAAACGCAATGTCATTTGCCATCTACTGTCTTTTTGAATCCTGCTCTTTTTTCATTTCTCCTGACTAACGTTTTCTCGTTATATTTCACTTTCAGTAACCTATTGTGTCTTAGTGGCTTTATCGCCTTGCTTGAGGTGAATGATTTCAAAAAGGTCTCTGTCTCAGATTAGTGTGTAGTATGTGTTACTTTTCCTAAGCGACTTCGGATTCTTGAGAATGGTATAACACCACGCGAGCTTGATTCTAAATGATGGAAAGTCAGGCTATTCTGATATCTACACTACATTAATTTAGGGCATTGGATTCTTTTTTTTATCCTTGACCAAAATCAACACGTCCGTAAACCCTGTGAAACCAGCCACGTGCTGTACCCCGCGGCTCCACGGTGATAGGGAAGTATTTTTTTTTTACTAGGCCCAAGGGTCACTCAAATTAAAGTGTAATTGAAAGAGGTTGCTGTCTGAGAAGTAAATGTTAGATCTAATGTAAATGGATAAAAATGATGAAAAGACGGAAGTATAAAGATTGCAATGATCGAAACAGCTAATGGATTGCAAACATCTGATAATGTGACAGAGTGCATTGGATTCATACCTTCCCCGAGGGTAGTAGTGCCACGTGAATATAAATCAGCCGGGATTTGAACTCTGCCCAAAGCTTTTGTTTTTCCATGTTGATAACCGATTAACTTTTGAATGATTCTACACTTCCATAGACTTGAGGATTTCTCCTTCAGGCAGCGGTTAAATAATTTTGCTAAGATTAAATATAACTCTAGGCTAATGTTGTTAAGAACAAGTAGCAGGTTTTTATCTAGATCGGTAGCCATTTTAGGGTTAGGGCTTTTTGATAAATCTGGAAACTTCCCGGGCAGTGATAGAGATATTACTAAGAAGGAACGTAAGAGGTGGGGGGGGATGTCGGGAAGGGGGTGGCCCTTGTTATCTAATATGGAGTTAGAAGCATAGTTTGTTTCGAGTAGCTTATCTGACGAAGATGAGATGAGCTACGAGCCATTTATAACATTAGACATGCTTTGCCTGTAATGAGAATTTGGTTAGAAATTCTCCAGAACTCACGATATCCATATCTTTTGCTTTAGATGGGCACGTGGCTGAGGGGTTGACCGTTCGCATTCTGACCATGAGACACGGGTTCGAATCACACCATGGTCGATTTGTCAGGAAGGAGACTTCCTGATGTTATCTGGAACGGTGGGATCGATCCCAGCGTGCGGCACCTTTGGAAAGTGCCTAAAAACCATACCACGGGTTGTGACCCAAGTCTTATGAGTGAAAATGGGAAGACAGAACCCTTGGGGGCCGTCGATAGCTGTGCTAGTACGAAGTCAAAAGTCATTGTGGTCTAGGGCTTGAGCGCGCTGGCCTTGTTCAAATTGTTGATCACGCTAGATAACACGCTCTTTCCCAGAAACTGTAACTAAGGTCTGCTCAGCATAGTTGCAGTATAAACCACAGGTTAGCTCTGTGGGTGCTGAATAAACACAAATGCACCTGAGCAAGCGTCTGCAATAGGGATTGTCTAGCCGTCCTAGTAGAAGGGTATCCTCGAATACAAGTGGCCAGTTATGCAGACGTTGGTTTGGACTGCTTATTCATAGCTCCACTTTGAATTTTCTAGAACTCTCTTGCAATGATGTAAAGCAGTTCTGAATGCAGCAAGAGTCCTACTACACCGTTTCCTGTTACGTCTAGCCGTTGTTACGGTGAGCTATGGCTGCAGCACAATCTGGCGTCAACCAGGGCTTTCTATCCGATTTTTGTTGATATTTTTCTGATCCATTTAGAGATGATGGCGGTAGTTCTGGAGGCTCTATATTTCAAGGACGTTGAGAGGAGTTTCCGCCAACTAAGATCTGAAGCTATCCTCGTTAGCCTTGGTATACCGAAAAATCGTCGTAGTTTGACATAAACTTTAACCCTGACTAGCGAATGGTCTGAAGCTCTCAATAGAAGTAATACTTCAGTGAGGCATTTTTCAGCACAGGATGTGAGTTAGAGGTCGAGGAAGTTTGCGTGATGTTCTGAAAAATGTTTAAAAAAAGGGTGAACCAAAAAAATGTTAAAAGTAGTCAGATACTCTCATAGATGTGTTAACATTAAAAAAATCCCCTGTGGAATTCCTAAATAGTATTGCATGGCGTTCTTTACTTAAAGCCAATTCCTAGTGCAACTCACGCTCAAAACTAAACCGAAGTAAAAAATCTTCGCTTCCATTGGAACGACAAGATTTGAGATAGGTGTCCAGTTTTGCATAAGTTGCACTATGATGTGGTCTTAAGTAAAGAACACCGTGTGGTATTAACAGAGATACCAAATAGGGTGGGATAGTAAAGGGTCAGGCGTTGCTTAGAGCTAGAAAGAATAGGAAATTTTGGAGATCCATGATCGTAAACGCCCTGAAGGGACACAGCTCATAAAAGAAAAACTTAAAGACCAAAGTAACATTAGTAAAAGTCTAAACGCTTCTTTTATCGAATGTGTCTGCTGCAGAGTGATATTTAGGAAAGCAGACTGACGAGTAAGCTAAGTTCTAACAGAGTGACCTACTTGTGTGACCTTTGTGCAAGTAAACTAAGTTTAGCAAAAAGAAATCTAAATATCTTTTATCCACTCTGCCTGCTGTCGAGTGGGAGGAAGTAAGTGCCACAATCGTGTGCGTTCGAGCGTTTTTGAGGATTTTATCCTAGTGGACTTCTGGCAGACTCGGATCAGTTTAACAAATATCTGGCAACTTCTTTAACCGATACAACCATTTATTCGGCCATATTTTCTACTACCTTAAACATTTAAAACTTTTAGCAGTAATAATGCTAAAAGCCTTCCGTACAAAATTTCTCAAACGGCTTTTTCGTTATTTTTTTTTCCTTTTCTCACGTTTTTGTTTTTCCTTTTTACAACTATTTGTCGACAGTAACCATCACATGAATGCATATTCACTTGCTTGCGTATGCATCCATCTCACTGCGTCTGTCTGCTCTGCGCATGTGCGTGTATGTGTACAAAATGTGCATAACTTGTGAGCGTGTGTAACTGATGACTGTGTATCTAATTTGTGAGCGCATAAAAAATGGCTTGTGTGTACGTGTGCATGACTGCGCCGGTGCAAGCAGTGGGGCAGCGATGGTTGCCTCGATCTGCTCAGAGTTTCTTCTTCTTCTTCTTCTTCTTCTTCTTCTTCTTCTTCTTCTTCTTCTTCTCGACGTCGTCGTCGTCGTCCTCCTCCTCCTTTTGGAATGTGGCCGATATTTTGCTGGCGTTCCTTTGAAGTGACATTCCACTGTTGTTATTCAGCAGCGTGTCAAAATTGCTGCAGCTGAGGTCATGAAGGCTTTGAAAATCATCGTCTCAAATACGTCAAGCCTAAAAGCCCGGCATAAGCTTGTCGCTCAATCGATAGAGAATGAATCAAGGTGAATAAGTTTCGAAGAAGAAAATATCTTTTTGTTGTCGTTGTTGTTGTTAGTGTTGTTCGCGTGTGTGTATTGTGTGTGCGTGTGCGCGCTTATGCACGCAGATAATCGTGCTAGTGCGTGTATGTGTGTAAAATCGCATGAGGCAGAGTAATGCGTAAATATATGCCTGTATGCGTGCGTGCGTGTGTCCGCGCATTATATAAAGAGAGAAAGCGTGTGTGTGTTCTCGTTTAACGTGTCTGTAAGTTTGGGAATTGTGCATATGTGGGTCACTGGAAACTGGAATCGTCGGGCTAAGTTCAAATTTCAGCCTACTCAGTTGCGTTCACTTTCTCACTTTTGGGAAGGGCAAGAATCCGTCTCTTCTTCCCCAGCTATGGGTTAAATAGCACGTTAGATTGGGCTCTCTTGCCGTGAATTTCAAACCGTAAAGTAGCAAAGAGATAAACGCTCCGTTATACCTCCCAAAATGGCAACTCACAAATGAGTCAACTTAAAAGAATGTGTGGGAAGACATGATCAGCGACATGAAGGGATATAGCATTTGTTTTTAAATGTAGATATTACAAAATTTAGCCTCGTCAGACGTAGGCTCTAAAAGTGCGCCGTTCACAAAGGCATTAGTTTACGAAACTAGCATTTTTGTGTGCGTACTTACGCGTATGTTTACATTAATGTGTTTAGAAAATAATTAGATATTTCTTTGCACGAAGATTTTTTTTACTGATTCATTTTTTACGGTTTATCAACCCCTTGTGAATTATATAAAGCAGAAATATGTTTTGGTAGTATAAGAATGATTCTTTTTTTGCGTGTGAATGTTTTTGCAATAACGATTTTCTCTTGAGAATATCAGTGATTTTTTCCAATCTTATTCCTGTAAGAAATTATGAGTCAACCAACAAAAGCAGAACCAAGATTAAATGTTAGCAAACTGTGTTTGGAATTAGTTTACAATCTCTTCTATCTGACAGTGTGTCTCTTATAGTACATGTCAGGGTTTAATTAGGAAAACGTACGAGAGCGCGGCTGGGTACATCGTGATCTTTCGATCGAGATCAGACCACAACGTACCACCATTTGCAACGGACGTTTAACCAGGAATAACAACCATTCATTTTTGTTTCGTTAAAGGTGTTGAAAAATGGGTTTTGCATGTCCACAGATAACAAAAAAAAACAGTGGTTATCACAAAATGAAAAAAACCAGTGTCAACACCAAAATTCATCCACAGAAATCTTCGCTTTGTGTCTGATACAATATGAAAGATGTCGTCCATTGCGAACAGGTGGAAAATGGAAGGACCATCACTAAGGTTATTTATTGCCAGCAACTTATTCAGTAAGTAATTCTGAATTTTAATTTCGTAGTCAAAGCTTTTATGTCATTGTTTAACACATGAGAAAAAGGTAGGGACGTTATTAGTCTGTGGGTTTGGTCTTCACCTTTGCATTATGAGGGCCCATCACGGTATATTCACTGTTATTCTCTTCAATCATTTTGTAAGGTTCGCAGTGCTACTTTAATAACAGATGTGGGCGGTTTACATTCAGACGGAAGGACTTTTAGGACCATGGCTATTAATGGAACATTTCAGAAGTGGTAGAACATTCAAAAATGTTGAAGTCGAAAGCAGATTTCTTTAAAAACTCGAAAATGTGCTTTCTCATTAAGCTGCAGAAAATGAACGTGATTACATTTTTGATTAGTAATATTTAAATGAATTTAACTTACATTTTGTTTTTATATACTGTCTTCTAAATAGGTTCGATAATTCTGACGACTTCACCTAAATTCTGAAATTTATACTATTTATTTATTTTTCCACACTGGGAGTAGATGGGCCCACATATCGTCCGGTTCACACTTCTCCCCGGTCTTTTGAACAGGAGTAGAGGTTTATCCCCTGTTTTCTGTTTAGCACTGGTTTCCAAGTTGTTTCTAAATTCTACTTGAGCTACGACTCCGCCTAAACTAAAATTTATACAATTATTGGGTTTCCGGTTTCTCCCTAAAGACTTTTTCTTCATTTCACTTCCAGTAGACGACACCCCCCACCAACCCTTGCGTCTTAGTGGCGTTATCTCCTTGCTTGGGGCGAATTGAGAAGAACAAATTATAATTATTTTCCGAATACTCTGACATTTGTGCATGGTTTCTATTTAGATGAGGATCGGTGAAAAAATGGACAGTCCTGTGTGTGCATGAGTTGAAGTGCGTGTGGGTGCATGTGAGCGTTTATTAGTTTTTTGTGTATCCGCATATTAGTGTATATATATATATATATATATATATATATATATATATATATATATATATATATATATATATATATGCCCGCTGGGTGCCTAATATCTGTGGCTTTATGCCATACGAAAATAACTTTAGCAAATATCTTCACTATATCTATCTTAATATATTCAAATTCTTATTTCAACAACCTGAAGTCATCTGTTTGCCAAGATCCAATAAAGAGCACTTCGTTAAGTATTGTTTCCTTCTTTCTTTTCTTTTTGTTACTATTATATTGTTGTGGAAACTTCCGGCATTTTTTTTCATAAGAACCTTTATCTATCTACATTCATAGATTTATTATTCAGTCATCAAAGTATTTTCCCTGAATTATAAGACCTGATACGAATAATTCCGTTATAAGGGTATTCCGTTATAAAAGAACGATTTCGGTTTTGCTTTTGATAAATTTGCCGAGGAATTTTCAGATAGCTTTATGGAATCATTGATCAGTTTTGCACAAAACGAAAAAAATGTGCCATATTTTCCGTCATATTAAGTACATTTATTTCCCTTTTACTTTCCGCCCCCATAAAATGTCCACCAAAAACGAGCCTGCGTATTATACATCGATAGTAGGAATACTAGTACTTCACTAACACCTAAACACTCCAATCTCCTACACAACTCCTCTCGTGACCCTAGAATGAAATATATCTGATTATAAAGGATTAAATTTTGAATACAAATCAAAATAATGTTAAAATATAAACCAGTCCCCTGATGAACCAAGAATTAAATAATTAACCATAATATTAGCCTTTTCCCTATAAGGAGGCATTTGGCATTCATTGACCTAGCAACTAGTACTGCTTACGGTTGGAATTTATAAAATGTTTTTCTTAATATTTAGTTCAACAAGCCATTGTTAAAAATAACAACAATGAAATGCAAATCTATTCGAATTTAGTTCTGAAAGACGCGGCTTTCATAGATTTTCGGTTAGTGCAACACTGACCGTTTTAATGTGGGACATTCTATTCGTTTGATTTCCCTCATCAAATTGTTCTTGCTGTGACAGAAACCACGTATCCTATCAAGCCTCTCAGACGCCTGTCCACTTTTCAGACCAATAACTCGAAATGTGAAGAACAAGACAGTCTTTTGTCACCATATAAAGTGCACTTACAAAACCGTCAAAAAACCAACATGCGTCTTATACACTGATGGTCGGCTTACCGATTCTGATTAACGTCAACTAGTTCTTTGATAAACACCGGATGAAAGATATATATATGATTATAAAGGATTAAATTATTCAAATCAAAATAATGTTAAAATATAAACTCCCCTGTTTAATAAACCCTTTCTCTGATGAACCCAGAATAAAATATATATAATTATAGATTTTCATAATAATGTTCAAATATAAAAAAGTATATATAGATGAATCATCAATTAAATGCAATTAGTCTTTTTTTTTCTTTTATATATTCCTTTCTATATTAATGATGCGTATTATATATTGATGAATGCAATACAGTTGTTGTTTAATCATTTCACCCAAAGCAAGGCAATAAAGTCACTAGGATGCAATTAGTTACTAAGTGTTAGAAAATATGAGAAAAAAAAACTATTATTAAGGAGAGAGGGCAATAAAAGAACAAGAATTAAGAAAACAAAAGATAACGATTGACAATTTAAGTTTTTGAAGATCAAAGTTCACTGGAAAGCAAGAAACCGGAAGTGAGTTCCACAAGCAAGAAGTCCGATAGAAGAAACTGTTAGCATAGAACTTACGGTTACATTTAACCATTTCAACTGTAAAATGATGAGATGTTGCAGCCAATCTAGTACTGCGCTTAAATTCATAAAGTCTAGGTACCATAGCGAAAAGTTCATCAGAATAATTACCATGAAAGTATTTATAGAAAAAACACAGAGGAGCTACGTTAAGTCGGTGGGAAAGTGACTGAAGCCGAGACGCCATGTCAGGATCAATAACATTGCAGATTCTTTTTTGGATTTTTATAAAAAATCTCTAAATGTGTAGCAGGAACACACGACCAGATATGGCAGCAATATTCAAAGCGAGAACGAATGGTAAACTTACAAATATGTAAAATAGATTCTGGAGAGAAAAATTATCTAACACGACATAGTGAATCAAGTTTCTTAGCTACAGACCCCAACAATTGATTCAATATAATCTTTCTACTTCATGTCAACTGAAAAAATTTGCCTGAGAAGGCGCAATGAGTCACTTTTCTGGAGGTTAGCATCAGCAATGCTGATAGACGTTAAAAGTGTTCACTCGGATGATCAAAAGGAAGCAGTTTCATTTTTGAGACGTTAAAATTAAGAAGCCATTCCTTGCACTATTTAACAACAGACTGTGGGTCATTATTTTTAGGTCAACTGTCAATTTGACCTCATCGAGATGATAAGAATTACCAGTAAAACAGGAGTAAATAGTTGTGCCATCAGCCTAGATACCGAGTTGAGAAATGGTGACATCAGGAATGTCATTTATAAAAATTAGGAACAATGTAGGTCGAAAGCAAGAGCCTTGGGGAACACCTGCATTAATGCAAAAAGAACTAGAAGAGTTGCCATTCAAG